CTTCTTTCACAGTCGCAGTCGAACCGCACGATGGCGAGGAAGGAACAAGGGAGATGGACAATAATGCAGAGGCCAAAGGCACACACGACGGCGAAAAGGGAACGAGAGCGGACAGAGGAGGGAGAGAGGATGGGTGGGAAGAAGTCGGGGATGTAGTTCCAGGCAGAGAGAGATTGGCTGAGCGACGAGGCCCAGCGATGCGCATGCGTCGACGTAAAGGGCCGCAAGAAGTGGTCCGTGGCGCGTCTCGTGGGTAGCGGACCAGGCGACAGTAATGGAGGAGGAGGAGGAGGAGACTCTTTTCGCAGCGAGCGAGCAGGTTCCGCCGATTGCCAGACCGGATCGACAAGCCAGCACGGGCCGGGGGGATTGAATCTCGAAGAGCAGAGAGCGACGGAGGGGCCAGGGAGATCTGGATCTGGAGAGACCGCGCTGGGCAGGGCGGTTCACGGGAGCACTATCAGCGACTGGGCACTATTTGAGCTCCGGTTCCACGGAATCGCGCTCGATAGCGCGCAGAGGACGGACCGGAGTGGACAATGGGCGGGCGTTTGACTGCTCTTGGAACCAGCTAACGAGGCAGGCCGAGGGGGAGGGGGGACTGTTGGTAGCTAATCCGTTGCATCTGCGCGGGCTCCACCCTCAGCAAGCGCTACCTTCGCCTGCGTTTGCCACGGGGCGGCGACCGACTCCGTGGGCGCAGAGCAGACAAGACGTACAGAGTACTGGGCTACAGGACCGCACGGGGTGTTTCTCATTCTAGATAGCAGGGGACGCCCAATGAAGCCTGCGATGCGCGTGCGCAATGACGGACGATGCGCCAGAGACAGCTACAGAAAACATCATGACGCAAGACAGCGATGGAGCGGGCATCGGACCGGGCTGGAGAGATTGCGAAGACATAGTACGGGGAGTAGGCGTAGTTTGGCCGCTAGCGAGGGGTTGTGGTTGGGGTCAGTCACGATCGCGAGGGGGGGCAGGGCAGTGTGACTGGCAGCCGGCTGCACTTGCAGGCGACGGAATGGGCCACCGCATGGCCAGGGCAGCGGCAGCAGACTGAGCAGAGCAGCAGCAGCACAGCAGCAGATGAGAGGTGGAGGCGCAGGCAAGCGACTAGGCTGCTTCGAGCGACCCAAGGACAGGGCCGCCGGGAGCTGGTGGGCCTGGGGACTGCTGGGAGCCTGGGCATGGTCTAGTCGTGTCGGATGCGTCGCGGCGGGCAGTGGGCAGTCAGTCAGCACTCAGCAGTGGGCTCGGTGGCCCGCCGGGCTTGGGAGTTGGGGCTCGTCTTTGAGCGCTGGGCATGGGGAAGCCTGAAGGAGAAGGCCGGCCGGGCGACAGACGGAGCGAGCACCAATGGCGGGGCTGGCTGGGCGAAGCCACGGCAGCGGAACAGAGCGTGTAATACGAGGAACGTCGACGCTGCATGGGCAACGTGCCAGGGCGCAGCTGCCTGCGTCTGTGCTTGCTCGTTACAGCCTGCCAGGAAGGGGCAAGCGACGGCCAGCACGACAGGCGCAGGAGCGGTTTCGGGGAAGGCGCGCCCAAGCACAGGCCCGGGGGAGGCTGTTAGAGGCAGCCGCGGCCGGCCATGTGGAGTAGAGGGCGCCGGGTGGGGGTGCGCCGCGTGCAGGCGACTGGTGGCAGGGTGGCAGGCTGGTGCCATGCGGAAGCAGCTGCTGGGCTGCCCGGCCGCTGCTCGAATCGCAGCGCAGCGCAGGCAACCCTCGACAGGCGGCAACGGCCGGAGAGGGAAGGCCTCGTCCAGGCCAGCCCGCAAAGCCTTCCCTGGCACGGTTCTTGTCCGCCCGCGGGCCGCGGCCAGCTCGACCTCTCCTGCTGAGGAAAGCCGCCCGGTGGGGACTGCGCTGGATTTGCTCTGGCGGCTCAGGTGAACACAGGATGATGCACCCGCCCTCCCCCAGGCACCTGCGTGGCAGCAGATCAGGCCTGTCGGCGCTCGATCGACCCAGAATCACACTACCCCCTGTATTCGGTCCGCTGCACGGCCTGAAAATTTGGCGATGCTCTTAGTCCTTACAACCAGCACGAGCGACGGACGGAGAAAAGGAGGCCCATGCAGGTCCCTGGTGGGCGTGTCGACACGGCTTGCTCCGTCATCGCGGTCGATCAACAGGTCCCTCGCCAAGTGGAGGATCTGAAGATCCCGGACACCGGAAGTAGTTTGGAACGCTAGAGGCAGTCGCCGCCGTGATTGGCAGATGCCGCCCAGCACGGCTGAACACGGACGGCCTCCCACCGACGGAGCTGTACTGTACAGACATCGACACACACGACCGACTGCGACGAGTAAGCGCCCAGATCGCCCAGTCCAATAATGACAGTCCAAGCCGTAATCCCTCGACGGCTTCGTCGGCGATCGCGCTGATGGTTCCTGGGCGACAAGACCACGGTCTCCTCCGTGCTGAGGTCGACAATTACCCACCAAAGACGTACCTCTGCCGTCGGTCCTCTGTACTGTACACACAAAGCACCGTGATCCAAGGACACCATTTTGATGGTCCCAGACGGCATGGTGTGATCATTATCAAGCGATGACCGCTTTCCCCTGGCCAGAGATCCCGACTGCTTCCGGCCGAGTCTGCGTCAAAGATGACGATGCCATTGTTGGCTCCCGGGTGACGTTTGCGGATGCCACCAGATGCACCTGTGTTTCTCGAGGCATCGAATTCCTCCTGTTCTGCTCAAGTTCCCAGCAATTGCTCGCTCTGCCCGCCCAGCCTGGACTCTGGAGAGCATTCGCAAAAAATAGAAGCAATTCCGGTGCCATTCTGCCTAGGGATCCATTCGTACGTAGCGTAAACTTAGCTTGGCTTTCCGAACGAGAGTTTTCGGCACGTTCTCCAGACGCCTCCACGGCCCCGGTACCTTGAGCTTACGAGGATAATCATATGGCAAGAAACTTTGCCGGGAGATCCTCAGACCCATGCAGATGCTGAACGCATATTCCACCAGCAGTGATAGTCATCTCTCTGAGATCTCACGACTACGACTACTAGTAGTTGTCTGGGTGGAAATAGGAGCTGCTAGCTGATCGATGATCGCTCTTTGGTCGCGTCCCAGCCATGGGGCGGGGTCTGGACGATGGCCAATACGCGGTCCCTTTGGTACCCAAAAATGTCAATTGCTGCCAGCCCAAAGAGACTAAACAAGATCAGCAGCCAGCGAGCCCATTGCCTGGCCCCCTGTCGCCTCCGTCGCCCACAAGGTGCGCGCTAGCAGTGCGGCCGGGGGCCTTCGGTCGCTTGGTGTCTATGCCATCTGTCCCAGTGACATGGGCGGGGTATCAACGACGGTTTTTGGCGCGTGCTTGTCGAAACTCAATTGACCGGAAGCATTTCAGGGCCCAACTCAATTCTGGACCTGTGCAAAGTAAACAACATGAATCTAGGGATGCGATTAAAAAGGGCCCTCTTTGAAGGTACATACATTGATCCCATCCCACATTTTCTCAATCTGACAGCCGAATAGATCCTAGCCCGACAGCCAAGTGGGCGCCCGTAAGACCCCAGGTGGCAATCGGTCGGATGGGCAGACCAACACCACCCGGTCCAGTCGCACGACTGGAAGGATCGTTCATGACGTTTCTGGTGGTGGAGGGTCGCATCTCCAGCCACTCCATTCTCGGGTGGTTGACGGAAGAAGTTGGGAATGGACGGCGCCTTAGGGTATTGCTGCATGCAGGAATTGGGCGTCATGGACTCATGGCCAGGGAGAAGACCCCCAAAGGTCGGTTCAGAGGCTCGCGGTGACTGGCTGAGAGGGAGATCAATGTCAGGCCAAGGCAATAACCGCCGACCCACGCTCTCCCACGCCCCAACACGGATGCGGAAGACTGGGCGGATGGTCGCCGATGAGCGAAAGAGGAAACACGGAGTACAAAGACCGCAATGTGATATCGATGAGACAAGCCGGACTTTAGCGTTCAATCGAGACCTTTAGCTGTGCTCCGAACCAGCAGAAACACCCCCGGATCTACAACAAGCAAGATGATGCCAGCGCGTGATCCAATGGTGGGGAGGATCTGCAAAGGA